GAGGAAGCAACAAGTTCAGCATCTGCGGTGGGAGCAGCTGAGCAGAAGGGCTGGAAGTGAGCAGAGAAAGAACCAGCGGGGCAGGCAGGGAGGAAGGCTGCCCAATTGCTAAAGCAGGTGCCCAGTGTGGATAGACTGCCAAGGGAAACGGTGGACCAAATGTTGCTGAGATGTTGTTGTTGTTTTCACCAACAACAGTTTGGAGAAACATCAGTCAGGGTTTGTATGTATGCATTTGTCCAAATCCATCTGGGGAAGTAGACTTAAGTCAAGGAAAGCTCATGCTGCCAACTTCTTTCTTTCAGTTAGTCTCAAAGGTGCAGCAAGATCTCTCTACAGACTGATTCTACAACTAACACAGCTGTATCTTTGAATTCTGTCAGAGTTTAGTTCAGTTTTCAGCTCTAAATGGAAAGAGGGGACTGTAGTTGATTCTCTCACCACCATTTGCTCATCTTGATAGCCTTGGAGTAGAAGAAATTGAGGCCAACATCTTACTACCCTGAGGTCGCGAAGCAATCTCCACAAGGCAGAGTGATGCACTCATTGTGCTACGCAACTGTTGCAAGGAATGGCTACGCTCTGCAACTCAACCAAGACACCAAACGTGGGAGTGAATGCAGGTGTGCATCTGTGTGCAATACATGTCCATACGCAGTGGCATGACACAACTATGCTTCTACAAACTTACACTGAATGTTGGATGTTCTGCATTGGACAAAATTGTCCAAACACTTCTGTAGGAGAACATATACATCCATAAGATGTAGACAAGATTGTGTGTGTATGTGTGTGTTGGTGGATACAGAGAGTTAAGGAAGGAAGGGAAGAAAGGGGGGAAATATAGTCAGAAGCAAGCGAAACTAATTATTCTTAAAAAGAGAGGAGGAGTACTCAAGAGATACCATGGAGAAGTACCGTGACTGCCCAACAGCAGTTGCCACTCACAAGAGATTGGCATCCTGAATAATATTTGCACACACACATATATACATACACACACATACACACACAGATGGACACACATCCTCCCCTCCTCTTCTCTCCTTTTAATTAGAGAGCATTTGGTATGGTTGTTTTCTGAGTAATTCCTCTTGAGAAACAAGCAGCTTCAAATTATAGAACAAAAAAAGAGAGAAGTATCATGAGGGAATTAGCACAAGAGAACGAATTATACAGCTGCCACAAGTCCGGGACGCAACTGGCCATGAGTCAGAGACGCTGCCAACTTCCAAACTCACTATCAATTTCTCATCTGTCATCGAGACAAGCGGTGAGTGCTAAATTGCGGACTCTGTTGATTACAGAAATGTTCCATTCCAATATGCGCTTGTGCTGGTAAAGCTCAACATGTTTCAAGATGAGGCAGGTTTTCAGGGAAGGTGGAGGTGTGGGAGAGGATAGATATGTGCCAGTGAATGCAGAAGGACTGATAACAACTAAATGCTGGAGATGGTGTTTGTATGAATGTTTGGTACTTATGCTAGCAATGTGCCAGGTTTGCTTGCGGTAAAAACTAGAGCAATTACTCCACATGCTTGCCATGAAGTGAGAAGGAAAAACTTGGATTCAAGAAATCCTGTGGGGAGGAGAGGAAAAGAGACGGGTCAGGAACTTATGCTGAAGAGCTGAAGCATAACATTTTCTCAAGCAGTCGTGTGGCAGTTGTGCAGCACTACCTTGTTGATGAATTATGACATTACATGACCAGTAAGTAAGACAGCTAGCATGGCATAGTGGTTTGAGTGTTGGACTATGACTCTGAAGACCAGGTTTCAAATTCCTGCTCAGCCATGGAAACCCACTGGGTGACATTGGAGTCTCAGAGGAAGGCAATGGCAGACCTCCTCTGAACAAATCTTGCCAAGAAAACCCCATGATAGATTCACCTTAAGGTCACCATGAATCAGAAACAACTTGAAGGCACACAAGAAAAACCAACAACAGCCAAATGTGCAATGAAATGCACCTGTACGCCTCCATGCGCAATGTGCAAAGATGTACTCTATAAGGATCCACAAGGCTCATTGTGCACAGCTTTGTGGAATGTGTGAATATGCACAATAGCACCTCATGTGCAACTCTGGATTTTGTAGCCTTGACGTAAACCCAGCCTTCCTTTGAGAATTCCTTTTGTTTGCAAAAGATCAGATGAAAGAGCCCACTTTCCATCAGGTTTGGGGGTCCCTGCTTCCTAACATAACTCAGTCTCAGAACAAAGGACAGGGATAGGCAATCCATTCCTCCAAACATACAAGAGACATAGAATGCATCTTTGCAGGAGCACCCTGAGTAAATGTTCAGAGGCAGTGGGGGATCAGATCTTAATCCTGCTTTACACAAATCTTGCCCAGGTATGTTGATTTTAGCCTAATCCTTTAATATTTAAAGCAATTCCATTTCTTGTTTGAAGAGACTTCCTGGCCTCTGAGGAAGGAAGAAAGAGAGGAGAACAAAGAATGACACATGTCAAGCAGCGCACAGTCTCTGAGTCTCAGCTGGAAGGAGGTTGCTGTGGTCCAGCAGCCGAGGATTTCTTGAGAAGTTGTGGGTCTTGCCCTGCTTTTGAGGGGATGGGAGCTTCTTCTCCATGTCTTTCTTCATTTTGAAATTTGACAGAGTTTATGGAGAAATTGAGCAGAACAGCAGTTACAGGCAAAAGAAATCTATAGCTGTCTCAAAGGAGTGTTCTATTGAATAGCATAATTCATTTGATTGTTTTTAATAATTAAATTATTATGATCTCTCTTTGTTTTTTTGTTTAGCTGAATTTTGTTTTAATTCTTTCTTATGAGCTTCTTTGGGTCCCATATTTGGAGAAAGGTGATGAAGGGGACTTTCCTGCCCCTGGAATACCAGGAGAAATTAGAAGACTGGGCTGGCGAACCATGGATCCAATTTTATTTAGAGAAAAGAAATTAATTTCTGTGTCCCACCCTAACATATCAGAATCTGGACAAAATGAGAGCCCTGAGCCACCAGCTCTTAATCCTAATATAGTTGCCAATGTTTCCAAGTCACTATTGCAAAGCCAACAAACTCAACAGATGTCCCAACTATAGCCTAGTTGGGTATCATGGGTATCATCAACTATAGCTCATTGATATCATGTCTTGTTCCCAGGACTCAAGTTCAGACTCTGATACAGACAGTGAAGCAGAAGGACAAGGGGATGTGTTTCATTCAGACTATGACACATATGGGGAAACTGAAGGTCAGGAGGAGAGTGGTTGAGACCCCCTCAGTGACACACACAGCCATGCTCAACAATACCTACCACAGTGGAAGGCAGATATGAGACAGGGAGGGTTTTCAACATTCAGAGCATTTGTATAGGAAATGCTCATTAATCAGACAACAGCCATGAGAGGCTTCCAGGCCATAAACAATCCAGAAACTCCCTCAGGAGGTTATTGCAGACAACTGACCATTCAGGTGGAAGCAACACTCTCATCTCTGGATCCCCAGCTTGTGTTTCCAAAGGCTCTTGGACCCTGCATCGCAAGCTGTCCACTATACTGGATATTCCCTTGAACTGATGCCTTGGCTTTCTTGCTGTACCCTACTGACTTGGACTGCCTGGATTCAGAAGCTTCTGTACACACTTGGTTGGTAAGCTTCTGTACACACTTGGGTCTGCTTCTGTCTTGTCTCTGATGGACTTGGCTTGGTCCTTTGCACCTGGATGGTCTCCAAGACAGGACAGCTGGCCATGTACAGCCTCCTGTAAAGTAAACAACCATTCCCCAGTTCTTGACAAAAAACCCATTCTCAACCCATTGGAAGGCCAAAACCATACAAACATGTCTTGCTGGGCTAGCCCATAGGAAACCATGCCAGCTTGCCATTTGGTAGGATCTAAAATAAATAAACATTCCCTTGGAGGACAAGATTTGAGCAAGATTGAGGGGCAGGTAAGTGACCTAGATAAAACCATGACAAATCACCCCATTGCACCTTGAAAGTCCATCTCTCCTTGTAGGTTTGTTTGGAATTTTTGATTCCCTTGCTGCTTCTCAGCAATGACAAACAGTGCAAGCTCTCTCCCTTGGTGTCAGGTTTGTGCTGTAAACAGTCTTGGCAGCCTCACACCTCATTACTTGGCAACAGGTGTAGAGCAATATATCAAGCAGAGAAAATGTCACTCGGTGGGAACTCCTCATCTCCAGAAACTCAATATTTCTCTTGATTCCCACATCTGGATGTCAAGAGAAGGCAGGAGGTTCCATTCCCTGTCTGTGGTCCTGATCAGGCTGACCTGCTACATACTGGGATGAGGAGGCCATCAAGAAGGACCTCCAGGTGAAAATAATCTGCTTTGAGATATAGATGTGAAATGTCCCACAGAGATATTGCTTGGGGGGGGGAGGTTTATAACTGCAAAGAAGGACTTGTGGTTGTGTTCTCCTTTGGCAGTTTGACAGGTGGTTTCATTGGTAGCCTGAAAAGAGCATCATGTTGGTGTCATATGCATGTGTAGT